CCTTGTTATTAAAATTTTTTAATGTTCTTATCAGGAATTGGTGGAAAACAATCCCCTGATTGCAGTTGAAGTTCTTACCAAGTTAATAAATTCTCCAGAAATTGCCGAGTATGTTTCCAATGCATTGACTTATTTTCCCCTTATGATTATTTATATAATTAGACTGTTAGTTTAGTTTGTTTTTTAGTTTTTATATCTAATTTTTAAACGTAAAATGCATATATGCTTGCAGCTATTTTACAGTTCTTGTCAATATGGAAATGAGCCTACACTCAATGGAAGTTGTGAACAGGCTAACAACAGCAGTAGAACTTCCTAGGGAATTTATTCGCATGTATATCACTAACTGTATATCATCTTGTGAGAGCATTAAGGTATTATTATTCCTACATCTTTCTTTCTGGTGATTGTAACTTTTATAATGGCTATCCAATGAGAAAAATCTGAACTTGGATCCAATTGATTTTGCTTGATTTGGGTAATGGATCCATCAAAATGATCCAGAGAATGATGCACTTTGCTAGTTTTTGTCGTCTGACTGTCACCTTTACGCGAAATTATTTTAAAATATTTCAGGACAAGTACATGCAGAACAGACTTGTACGACTTGTATGTGTTTTCTTGCAGAGTTTAATCCGAAACAGAATTATTGACGGTGAGTGTGCTGTTGGTAATTGGTAATTGAAGTTATTGTAACTTGCTTCTGGCTCATTCACAACTGGGCAGAGAGAAGAGTTTGAGTTGTGAAATCTGATTTTTTGGGTGTGTGGTTTACTCATATTAATGATATGATGCTGACGGCTTTGCAGTGAAGGATCTTTTTATTGAAGTTCAAGCTTTTTGCATTGAGTTTTCGCGGATTCGGGAGGCAGCTGGCTTATTTAGGCTTCTTAAAACCTTGGAATGACCTGCATCTCAATTCTTAAAAATGATGCCTGGTAAAAAAAGTTATTACGTTCTGTTTCAATCTCTATTATGTTTTGTGTTTTGTAGATAATAATGTTGTCATTTGTTTTTCAAGTATATTTTAGGTTTGTCAAATCACAGTTTTCCATATGAAAAGTGAGATGATTTTTCATTTTGTTTCTAACTTCCAACTAATGTGAACGAAAACTGGGTTAACAGTTAGCCATGGTTGGGGTTGGCACATGAAAATATTTTAGTTTTTATAATTAAATATATCTTTCAATTTATAGTTGAAATTTTATTTTTTTATTTTTGGATATGTTTCCAAGTGTTTGAATACTTTTTATAGACAATGTGTTTTAGTTTACTATATATTAATAATTGATAAGAATTTAAATTAATTAATTTTAGATGGCTATAAAAATGTATGATAAATAAACAGGATATGGAGTTTCATTTCAGCAGCATAAATTAAAAAGATATAATTTCTTAATTAGCAGTAAAGTTATAAAAAATATATATATATATATAATAATTGAAATTTAAGTGACTCACTATCTCATGAGAGTTTAAAATTATTATGTATTTTATCTTACTCTCTATTAAACCATAGTATATAATATTTACAATTAAAAAATATGTATTAAAAAAAAAAAAAAAGAAGAAGAAGAGATTATTATTATAGAAAAATATACCACTTACAGGTTACAATTTAATTAAACTCTCAAAGCTGAACAAGTTAATTAATTAAGAATAAAGTTGCTTTTTGATTAAAGTGTGTGTGTGTGTATATATATATATATATATTATTTGAAATCGAGATTGTATCCAACATTCATCATGTATGTAGTGTGTTTTTTAAAGTCTCGTGTCTCTAGAGACTAATAAAATAAAATGTTGTTGTAAAAGAGGAAAGTTAATTATTAATTTAACATTAATTAAGGATGAATCATTGAGAGCTTTGGTTAATTAAATATTAAATATTTTCTAATCTTTTTCACTCATCATCACCACCAGCAGGCAGAATATCCGAGGGGGACACACACACACTAACACAATACAAAGCAGATTAATGCGGGTGTTTTCTGCACGTCACGTGGAGACACACACACACACACATATATATATATATATATATATATATATATGTATACATACATGGTTTTGCTTGGAGAGAAGGGAAGCCTGTATAAAATTAATTAATTAATTATTAATGTAATCTAATAATTTATCTTAAATAAATTGATTAATCGCTGTAAAATCTTTGTTAAGATCTCTGCTCCTCCAGTTTTCTAATTCAACATACATAATAGATATATCATTAATTCTTTGCCTTTTATTGTTAGTTAAGAAATTTTCCTGTGCAATTAGGGCAAAGAATTTGACTACAGGGCGTATTATTAATGCATTATGTCATTATTTAGTTTCACTATTAAACTTTTTTTTATATTCAATTGGTTAAAACATGAGTTTCCAATAACCTTCCTCCCACATTTAATTGGTCAAAACCCACTATATATTTAATAAATTTAATTATAAAATATATGTAGTTAAATATTTGTTTAATTGATTTTTATCATCTACTAATAAAATTTTTATATATCTATATATATATTTTTTGTACAACTTCATATATTTTAATAATTTAAGTAGATAATTAATATTAAATTTGTACATAAATACATAAAATGATGAGTTTAAAAATAAAAATAAAAAAAATAAAAAAATAAAAAAATCTTGAAGTCACAATCTTTAAAAATAGATTCTAAATCACCAACTTTAATGTTCAGTAGCTTGTAACTTATTAACTGTGTGTATACACATATATTGAATATATACAACATAAATAATGAAATTGAAAATATTCTTATATATTAAACTATATGTATATGTTTTTATGCTTCCAATGATTGAACAAGAAAATCCGGTTGATTATACGTTACGTTGGTGAACCACGCCGCTTCAGACAGCTCATCATCATCAATCGTCAACTCAATTATTCCAGACCAACAACGTGGACCCTCTTATCTCCCTCCATTCTTCAGGAAACAACCTATATCAACTTATATATATATATATATCTATATCTATATATGTATGTATGTATGTATAATTGATTCATTTATAATCTCTCTTATTGGGTCAAGGGAGAAACAACCTCCGCCAAAACATAATAAACTTCTTTTACACGTGTAAGGTGGCCATGCAAATCTCTCGTGCTTTTTTATTTTCTTTTTCCTTTTTTCAACTATTAAAATATTGCCACCCCACCATTTTTTGCTCACAATAAAAGAGGTCTATGTCTCCTGCTCTTTGAACCAAATCCAACCAACAAACATGAGGAGTCTCTCCATGAAACTTCCGGCAAGGCTGTTAGCCTCACCGGCGGTTGCTCCTTTGCCGGTAAGGAGTCCCTTTGAGCTTCAGATGACCGCGGAGCTCGATGCCTTGCAATCTCATCATGAGCAAAACAGTTCCATTAATCTTCAGTTCTTGCTTGATGCACTCATCTTCTCCATCACTACCCAGAGGATAGCTTTGGACTCCCTATCTAATCTGGATTTGGTGTACGGAGATTCCGATGGAATGGTCATCCATGAATATATTAACCAGAATGATCTACTGCTCGATGCTTGTAATGGAATGTCAGAGAAGGTTTACCTCCTCCAAAACTACGTCGTATCATTGAGGATGGTTTCGCATTTGCTCGAAGGGAAATATTGTCCTATACCACCAAGCACTCTGGTAAGAGCTCGACGGGTGTTAGATTCATGCGAGGCCATTGAGAGAAGTACTTCATCATGTACTGTCTCTGCAAGTTTAAAGAAAGTAGCAACCAAGAAGAAGCTTTTAACTCAGCCATATTATCGTACTGAGTCGACTGAGTTACGACAGATCTTAAGTGGGTCTGGTTCGGTGGCTTCCATGGTTTGTGGGTTGCTTGGAGTGGCTTTATCCTTGAAGCAAACACGTGGGTTACAAACCACACCACTGCGATACTGTCAATCATCATCAACGGCTACTTGGTTTCGTGAACTACACAAGCGATTCATGAAGGAAGAGAACACGGTAACGGAGTTGAGAGAAATTGTGAAGGTGAGTCGAGAACTGAGGCAGCAGATCAAATGTAAAAAACAAAGTAGCGATGATGAGATCGTGAGGGTTGGTGCTCAAGAATTGAAGAGAAGATGTGAAGAATTGCAAGAGGGGATTGAGACATTAGAGGAGAGAATAAAACAAATGTATAAGCATTTGATTTCTGTAAGGATGGCTTTGTTGGACATTTTGTCCCACGACTGAAAATATAATTAGCAGTTGAATCTACAACATAGGTTTACCTAGTTGAACATATTTGACAACATTTTTTGTACGACAAACACTAAAAATCTATTACATCTCGTGCAAGATTCATCCTACATATGTGTCTGCATATAATTTGGGTTAATAAACTTGCTTTTAAATGAAATATGTTGGAACATTCTGAACCTCAATTTTAGAAGCAGATTTAAAAAGAAAAATCTTATCCAAATTACATATATCTAATTGTTTAAAGTTTTCATATGATATATATTAACCGCTTTTAGAAAGTTGTGTTAGATTGAGGTAGAGCAGTAAGAAATATTAGTTCTAGAATATATATAACCACGTAATATTTCGAGAAAAAGAAAAGCTAACTCGTTGCCAAAATCTTGGGTTCCTTTCTGCCTGCATTACCATAAAACTCCTAATAAAGTGGTATTGAGAACTTTCTAATTTCTAGTATGGCATCAAAAGTTTCTTTGTAATATCCACATTCACCAAATTAAAAACTAAAGAAAATTGGGCACTTGAGATGAAAGTCATTTTTGTGGCAACTACTTTTTGAGAATGTTGAACCAACCAACCTCATTTCTTTCTCATCATTAAAAATATCAGTACATAAAGATATCAGTATTACTACTATTCTGTGAATATATATACGTTTATGGGTCTGACAAATGGAGGAGTTTCATATTAAGGATGGGTGAGACATGAGATAATCATATTCTAATTCTATTATTTAAGAGTAGTATGATGAATAAAAATTGAACTAAATGCAGCTTATTGTTAAAAACACTATTGTGTTCTAATAATTATCATCATCATCAAACTAGAGAAAATTACAACTAATAATTGATTAGAAATGCCGACAATAATTTGTATTAATTTTTAAATAAAACTGGCATTCGAGGTTTGATGATTCCACCATCCACCAAAAGATTCCAAAACCAAAGGAAACCCAAAAAATGGATCAAATTTTTCCCAGTTTACTTACCATACACCCTTCCAGTTCCCACAGAATATCTTAGATAAAATGTTTTATATACATGCTATGAGAATGAGATGCATAGTACATAGTTGCAGCTAATTCACTGAGAGAAAATGCACTCGGGCTAGAGTGTATTCTTTTGCAGCTATCCAAACACCGGTTTGTGACCACTGCACATCCTCCCAGTCAACATTCTCCTCCAGTACCTGTTTACCAAGCGCATAAACTTAAATGAGGGACAAGAATGCAGGCACAGCGAAAGAAGAAAAAGAAGCAAAAAAAAAAACAACTAAACCACATGCTCTGAGATCAGATTGCTAGACCATATATGGCTTCTTGTCAAAAACATGACTGAAGTCAGCTTGTTAAACCATCAAGCACCTATTTTTTCATGTATAGAAAGAGAGCATGCTCCCAACTGAACTAAATGGCTCTGGCTTTTTTCCTTTTTGTGGATTTAAGTATGAAACTCGCCATTCTTCCACAAATAAGTCTTAGGCCCAAGTCACCATCAGAAAATTGAAGGGAGTAACAGGTAGAAAATGATTAAGTACCTCCACATGCTCCGGTGGGAGAGGAATCCCCATGGAACGCATGACTTTCTCTGGAAGAGGCTTCTTACAACGAGAAAACCGGAAAACATCAATTAAGATGCTATCAGATTCATTTTTTTCACCATTTGAGAAATGTGAGTGATGATTCTGTGATTTCTCTGTCTCTGCATCATGCCCTTGCAATGCTTGTGCTACTTTGACCATCTTCTCCCCAGTAAAACAGAGCTCATACCTTCACAGAACATATAAAGTTTTAAAATGATGTAATCAGAAGTTACAGAAAGATAAGAACCTTTTAGTTGTAGAAAGAGGTGAAAAAGGAAAGGGTTTACTAAAACATAAACCATAAAAAGAAAAGAAGAAAGCAAAAGGTGTGTGGGGAGAAGGAAGGGGGGGGGGGGGG